CTTTTAAATACATCTTTCCAGAATGGATTTCTACAATTTAGGCAACAAGAATTAACATATTCTATCCCACAATTTAACATTTTTTTCTCATCTATAATAGAATTCAATAATATTTTCCATTTCCCTGATGAGTGAAATATTCTTCTGATCCAGCCAAGTTTGAGAGAATCTATGAAAGCTACAATATCTATCATTTTTAATCCCCCGTCTATGTAGTTCTGAATGACCACGTCTTTTTTTATCTTGTGTTGTTTGCCATTCCAGAGGAAATCAAATAAAATAGAGCTCAATTTACCAAGAAAACTGTTGGAAGGATTTGGTAGGGTAATAAATAAATAATTGAACTGGGAAATTAATAAAGATTTTATTATACTGATTCTACCTAAAGGAGTAAGCCTTCGTCTTTCCCACACATTAATAAGAGCCTTTAATTTAACAAGTTTCTTATCGTAATTCATTCCAGGAATTTCACTAAGGTTAACACAAAAATCAATTCCCAAAAAAGTAAACTTATTCTTACCCCAAATTAGATTTAACTCTGGAAGAAAAGCTTCCTCACTATATTTCTTACTTCCTATCCAAATAACCTGTGTCTTACTGGTGTTGATATTTAACCCTGATATCTTAGCAAAAGTATTCAGCTCATTAATAGATTCTTTTAGTGATTTTTCAGTTCCATCCAGAATCAGACCTGTATCATCAGCATATTGCACATTTAAAATAGACACATTATTAATTTGTATACCCTGGATATTTTCATTATTTCTAATTCTTGCAGCTAGAACTTCAACACTTAGTATAAAAATATATGGGGCAACTGGGTCGCCTTGACGACAACCACGCTGAATGTTAATTGGTCTAGAAATGTTACCCCCCTGATTAACCACTGAATAAACATTAGTATGCAGAATTTTTACCCACTTCCTAATATCCACTCCAAAGTTAAAGTAACGAAGAACATTATCAATAAAATCCCAAGAAACTGAGTCAAAAGCTTTTTCAAAGTCGACCATTAGTAACATTCCTGGAATATTCAAATCTTCTGCATAACGCATTACATCATAAATAGTACGGATGTTTTCCCCAATATAACGCCCAGATAAGAATCCCGTCTGATCTTCATGAATAAGTTTTCCTAAAACTGATTTTAACCTATATGAAATTACTCCAGATGCTATTTTATATGTAATGTTCAAGAGAGAGATTGGTCTCCAATTTTTTAAAAAATGACGGGGCTTATCTCCCTTAGGTAAGCAAGTTATAACACCTTGTCTCTGAGTAATTGAGAGAAGGCCCACTGAAAAACTATAATTAATCGAACGAATCACAAAAATACCTATGAAATTCCAAAAAGTTTTAAAAAATTCTGAAGTAAAGCCATCTGAACCCGGACTCTTATTGTTTTTCATATCTTTCAATACCTTTCCTGCCTCCTCAAATGTTATAATACCTTCTAAATTATTGGACTCAGCATCAGTTAACTTAGGGACACTGCAGTCATGGAGATGATGATCCAAATCAATTGGGGTAACTTCTTTATGTTTGTATAAGTTTTCGTAAAATAGTTTAACTTCTTTTAAAATATCATCTTGATTGGTAATTATGTCCCCATTATCTTTCTGAATTTTTGGAATAATTTTAGAAGTAAAGTTTCTGTTTTCAAGATTTAAAAAATACGAAGTTGGTTTCTCCCCTTCCTCCACCCATTTGGCCCTTGACCTAATAATACTGCCCTTTATTTTTTTTGACCGTATTGCTTCAAGTTCTCTTTTTTTAACATCTAATTCTTCCTGGTCAGTGTCTATATTAGCTTCCATAATTTCGATAGATTTCTTTAGGTTTTCTTCTTCAAGGTTCTGTTGTTTCTTTCTATGAGATGCATATGATATTGACTTGCCTCTTATTTCCATTAACAATGTCTCCAAAAACAATTGATCATTAATTAAGAATTGAATTTCTGTATTAGGTAAAAGCGAAACAGAGTTAAGATTATATACAGGTAGGCAATATTGTAATTTTATGTCATCTATACATTTTTTAACCATGTCTAAATAATCTAGTTCAAATAATAATGAGTTATTAAACTTCCAGAGACCTCTTCCTCTTTTAAATTCATTTAATTTTAACGCTATTACTGTAGCCGAATGGTCAGATCTATAACTTGGTTCTATGAAAGATTTTCTTGTACTGGATAATAAACTGTCTGAAGTGAGAAAAAAGTCTAGTCTGGCCTGCTTAATAGGATTTTTTCTTCGCCAAGTATATCTCTTAATATCTGGATGAAGTTCTCTAAAAATGTCTATAAGATTGTATGTCTCACTGATTTCTAACACCTTCTCCCTAGCAGATGCATTGTTGATGTTTCTATATGAGTTATCATAATCAAGCTCAGGGTTAATCACGAGGTTAAAATCGCCACAGACTATTATATTTTCATTTCCAAAGCTGTCAATAGTTTCCGAAATCTGAGTATAAAAAATTGGATTATCCTGATTAGGCCCATAAATGGTTATAAGTGTCAATCTACTACCCTCAATATCAATATCAATCCCTAAAAAATTTCCATCTAAATCACGTTTTTCTCTATAAACTTTACTTTCAAAATTATTATTGAGTAAGATTGCTACACCACGAGAATTTGATGAGAAAGAACTGAAAAAACTGTGATACCCCCATTCATTTCTAATTAAATTTTCTTGTTCTGTTGAAAAATGAGTGTCTTGTAAACAGTAGATGTGGTATTTCTTGTCTCTTAAGTATGAGAAAACATCCTTCCTCTTAATTTTATCACCAAGACCCTGACAGTTCACCGAGAGTACACAGATATCATCCATAACTGAGAAATTGAATGAATGCGTAAGAGCAGCCTTCCAGCTGGGAAATAGGAAACAAGACAAAGGGAGAAGAAATGGGGATAAGAGGGGGGAAAGGTTGTGATAAAAGCATCTTACAAGGTCAAGAAAGGAGCTACACCACCACTCAACACTTACACACAACCTATTGGCCGTGAAAACTTCGGACAATCAGACAATTTGTGCCGCTATACCGGAAATGACAAACAGGAAGTGTTGATACTAATGCACGGAGAATGAACCGGCCCGCGGAACTGTCCGGAATAGACCGGGGGACCTCCCGAGACCACCCGGACCGGAAGTATATATAAAACAACTACACGTTCACCAATTATATTATAGCATACATGCATTTCTGTAAGTTATATATAATATCCCATATAATACCTGGCTACTCAATATAGGTTATTAGCAAGATATTATGGACTACCACGGACTTAAATACTACTACTACCTACGACATCCTCAAAATATAGCATATACATACCATTTATTTTCGGAGCTTAAAAAATCTTTCTTAAATTACGACAGTTACAAATATATTATTTATAACAAGCTATATGCTCACTTTGAATGACGTTACATGTGTATATCTCATTATCATACTTTAAAATCTAAAGTCACAAAAAATACTACGTAGTTATTCTTACCTTTTACAAATGGAATTTCAGTAATGATATATATCCTTTTCACACAGAAGAATTGATCACACAACACACATATACATGTACACCACAGAAAAAAGCACATTAGTATACAACACAAAGGTGATCGGTTGCCAGACACACTGGCATTAAGTCATTTACCGATCACTGTGCACTGTCCAACTTCTATCTCCTTGATACAAAATTAGCATCGTTCATCAAGTAACTTTCTTCCAAGGGTGTATCGTGTAAAAGTCTGCGCTTCTTGCCATTAGTCAAAATCACATATATTTTCCCGTCTGTGCTATACGAATTTTTGACACAGTTCATACGGAACGCTTCCTTCAGTCTCTGTTGATTTAAGGAAGTAAGGTCTTCATAGATAACAAACTTGGAACCTTTCAGGATCTTGCGGGCGCGGATAATTTCATGCTTCTTTCTCCGGTGCGTGAACTTTACTATCACATTCCTAGGATTTGTACCATTGTACTTTCCCAATCTATGTGCGATGTCAATGTCCCTCTCCTGAAGTGGTACTTTCAAGGTGTCACGTACAAATCCCACGATCGTTTGGACACAGTCCTCTACCGATTCCCTCACTCCCGGGTCTGGAAGTCCAACGATTCTAACAGAATTCTTCCGGCCTTGTTGTTCCAGGTCGTTATACTTTCCCGCCATCTCACTCTGTCGATCTTGACTGGTCAATAACTCGTTCTCTAGCTCAGAAATTGTCACTTTCAAGTTGTTATTTTCAGTTTCCAGGGTGTTTACCCTCTCCTCCAGAGCTTCAATACGTTCTGCGTGTTCTAGCTGAATGTCCAAACGGAGTTTCTCTAACTTTTTATCCAACACATCCTCAGTAATAAGATTCCTGAGGATCTCATATATCTCGTCTAGTCGATCGTCTGTGGATTTAGTACCAATACCACTGGTCCTGCTGCTGGGAGCTCGATCTCGCAGGGTCTTGGGAGGCATGATAAACAATATCCAGTAAACAAAAAACTAAGCTCCAGAATATATAGGCTGTAGATAGTCCATCTATAGGTGTACACATACACGGCCAGGTATACGTAAGTGGTGAGTAGTGGTCAGTGACTAGACTCAGTCCATGTTCTCAAAAGTTCCTGCTCCAAAAGTATATTTTCCGAAGAAAATATCACAGACCGATATATCAGTCAACTAGTTAAGCATATTAACTAGATGTTGACAGAAAATTAAGTTCCAATATATCGTGCAAACATACAAAAAGATAATTTTTCACCGGAGCTCCAGAACAACCGACCGACTAGGTCCTGGTGACCCTTCGTAACATATTTGTTGTAACCTGGACGAGCGCCACTTGCAAAGAATGGATAAAACAACAAAAATACAATAATTTATTACACTATATACACGTAACATGATATATCTACTAACATGATTAAGCACACCTTACTCACTCATAAACACACTCACTATAATTATAGAAATATATAATACAGTCTATACAGCAAAGCATATAGACATGCCTCTGGTAAAGACTCTGAAAGCGTCTCTGGATGACCTGCTCATACACCGTACAGCAGTCAGCAAATGTCCACAGAATTGAACAAATGTCCCCCACTTTACCAGATCCAATGACGACACCAAGTACTGTCCCCCAAGGACATTTCGTAACTATGGTCCACACAGGACTATGAACATGCACAGTTGCCCACAAATGACACCTCAATAATTGTCCACACAGGACAACAGCTGACAGGTCTGTCTACCTCCAGACTGTATACAGCAACAGCCCACACCAGACATCATATGATTACATGTACCAATGAAATGGTTAGTCTCTAGATTGATAGTTGCTCACACGGGACATGGTATCAGTTACACTGCCTTGCCCACACAGTACGCTAACAACAGCTGTCTTGGCCCACATAGGACACAAACATGTACCATCTCTGTACCAGTAGTATCATCATCGTTCTCACCAACATCATGGGGTAGACCTGTAAGTACATAATATAACCATGTCTAACCAAATATCCCATTCCGGTTACTAAGCTATACATATATTCGTTTAGTATCTCATAATTTACACAAATAATCTATTACAACCATATAATACTGTCTGTAGCTAATTAACTGATATAATTCCATTAGCAAATTATAGTCTAAATTTCAAGTTTCTGATAAATTAACTGACTATTTCTGCTTATAATAACTAAATATATAATCCAATTCACAAATATTAGTTATTGTAAAACCATAACATATGTATCTTGAACTGTACTCATCGGCCGTTATAAGCATATACATGTATCTCTTAATAATCACGTATTCCTCCTTCTCAATCATACTTTTTTATGATATTGTTCTGTGCTTATAGATACTATAATTATCGATATACTATTCTTCAGGATAATCTTTTTTTCAGGAGATTTGGCTTTACATCAAAATGCTACACAAAGCTCAACGTACAATGATGGTCCTGTATATTATACTGCCGAAAGAGCTGTTGATGGGGTACTCGGAGTTGATGTATCGGATGGACACTGTTCCCACACAGGTTCAGGTCACCAACAAGCCTGGTGGAAGGTTGACCTGGGACAGATTTACCGGATACAGACGATCAACATCACATATAGACGTGGTCGTAAGTTGTCGCATTATATTCACGTGTCTATGTTTACATCAAGGTATAAAGTTGCTGCTCACATGTGATGGTCTTTACTTGAAACTCTGTTGGTGGTTTCTAGTGTAAGTGTTTTACTGTTGTTTTGTATTTTTTCAACTTTAGATAATTGCACGAATAAAACGATATATTTTTAGGCCAATTACTTTTGTTAATTCATAAGCAAACAGTTTTCAAAGAAGCCTCCGTTATCTAAGACTCTTGAAAGTAGATAGTTAACCCATGCTCTGACAACATATAGCATGCACGTAATGCGATTCTTCATCAAAATCCAATCATCACTGATTCATGTTATAAAAACACAACATTTACCAGTTAAGAGAGAAAAACCATTTCCGGTTAGTCCTCTTATCTTGTTATTAAAAAGAGCACTAATTCTATGTTTAGCATAATACTTATTTCACCTCGACAACATTGATTTGAAGGTTAACGGTTGAGCTGAACAATGTCGTTTTGAGAAGTATATGTACTGTACTTAATTACGTTATCTCACTAGTCCAAAAGTTGTAGGTTGAAAAACTTTGTTAAGAAAATTGTTCGCCTATTTGCTCTTTGACTTCGGTGTGTAGGTCTCAGTAACCTAATACCATACATACATACTTATATAACCTGTGAAAGATGAAGATAAGCTTCCAATGACAAAATAGAAGGAGAGGGTATAGGATACAAAAGTTTATATACCATTATCTTGAAATCCTAACTATAATAATCATTTACTTCAGAATGACATGATTGAGTACCTGGCATCATCACTATGTATTCCCTGATGCTGACTTCACGGATTTGCGATTTCTCATATCACGGTTCCCCTGTTATAGAAATCGTCCGGAAGAGAAAATTGATAATTTCTAAACTTGATCAAATCTCCTAAGGAAAGATTGCAAGTGATTGGAAATGGACATTTGTTTGCTTAATAATACATTAGAAATATACATGTTATTGAATCTTAATTAAAAAAAGTTATCTAGTCGAAAAATAATTAACCTAATTCTAATTAGATGTAGGGAAAATGTCTTCGTTAACTACTTTGCTTCAGATTTACTATTCCATGATTTTTCAGAAACACACACTCTCAAAGGCTACAGTCTGTATGTAACAAACAACACAGCTATGACACTGCATGGTGGGTCTATCAATGAACAGTTAGGTTATTTGTGTTACCATGACGCTGATTCCAGAATACCAACGTATAATCAGTCACGAGAGTGTCACGTTGATGGGAGATACGTCGTGTTCTACAACAACAGAACGAACGAAGACGCATATATTGAGCTATGTGGTGTTCAAGTTTACGGTAAGCTATATTGTTCAGATGTGCATTTTGTTCATGTTCTCCTGTAACCCTAACGTTTTATTTTAATTTGATTTTTCTAGACTAGTGCTTTTCTTCGGTATTTAAATAAAGATACTTACAGAATAAAAAAGGAAATTGATCGTTAATATGCTTCTGTAAAACTACACGTATTCCTTGAAATTCACTCCTGCTTCAATCACAGATTCTATATGTTTCCATGCACTTGTTATTAAGGTATTGATATCATATTTCAACCGATTTTGAATTTTTGAATTTAAGATAGTATCTACGAAGTAATTCAATTTATTTAATGCTAGAGTGTTTCAAACTATATGCGACTTTGGAACGATTTGAAGTCGATGTTTACTAAGGAGAAAATGCGCGCATATATATTGTTGGCAAAGTTGGCTTCTTTGAAATGTAATGCCCATAAATCATCTGAAGCTGTATTATGGACTAAATGATTAACTGAAAGCTAATTTCACTAAACTTTTTTTTCATCCATTAATCATTTTCTGACAATGATATTTTTATTTTGTATAAGCTTTTGAATTAAAAGTATTATAAAGCAAGGTTGCTACTTGAAAACCCCATTTTGCTTCATTCATACAGCATCTTTAGACCTTCATTATTGACTAAATTAAGTGTAAAGTTTATGATTCAAAGGATATACCAAACATTTTTAAAGATGAATCCTTCTTCTCCTACAGTCTAATGATTAATCGAAGTTATTAACATACTGCTTAAGTCAGACAATGAAAAATGCGTCCTTCAGATCAAACTATTTTGTGTGTCAGCTGAAACTAAACTTGCAAACCGACTAAAGGAAGAACGAAATCAATCGAAAACTGTCAGATAAATCACAGTACATATATCCTGACGCCAAATTAAAATCACACGTCAAATATAACAAACGTCAAAATATAACACACGTCAAAACATAACCACAAGTCAAAACATAATCACGCGTCAAAATATAAATGAATTTATTTTCCAATCGAAAAAGAAAAAAAATATTAGACTGACATAAACTGCATTCTATAAATGTAGCAAATTGAACTTTTACCTCTTACTCTATATGATTCTGGTATGTGATGTACCAAACATATACACGAGTAACTGACATTTTGTAGTAATAATTTGAAGACAGGTACCAACGATCCAATATTAGATACACTTAGAAATATTTGACAATGGTTTATGGTCTATTCAAAGCCGATTGACTATCCAATAGATAACTGGAAATACCTGGATTACATCAAAATTGACATAAATCACGTTTTTAAAATTATTTGTTGGAGTTTTTGTTATATTCCTATATAGTAACGGATACTAGATGTGTGTGCACGCATATCAACCGTTCGCCGACCAGCTGAATGCATCTAAACCTTCTTGTGCACATCATGCGTACAATGTAAGCCGTCTGTATATGATCAGTACACACACAAGATACAACAATTAGCGCACCAACGTGTGATAGGATCGTACATTTTGTGAGGTTTGATTGATAGTTAAACTAAACATATCGGGTAATCATGACTAACTAGCGACCGAATGCATATCAAGTATCGATCGGTGATCATAAAAGTTTTTTGTACATTTTGGCTGTTATCAAAATACGACCGGACCCTGCGTTAGTTAGTCTATTTAGTGTTCAGTTTCACACCTCAGAGTGGCGAGTGGTTACTGGTTATCGGATATGTAAGTGACATCTCAGCACTGGTTATGATTTCCTTGTAAGAAACACTGCACTTAAAATTGACATGAGTATAATTTTGTCGTTACAAATTGATAGGAATATGAGATTAGTTTAGAAGGATTGTAAATTTGATTACCATTATGACACTGTAAGTTTTTAAATGATTCATTGCCGAGACTTTAATGTTTATGTTTACATTATTATATGATGTATATGTATACTAAGACTGGTACCGCTTGGCACTTAATCAGCAAAACACTTTTAATTAAGAGTTATGTAACTATTAAGTCTCTATCTGATAGATCTAAATGCGTCTAAGCTATTGAAATAAGTAGGAAGTATACTTCTCTGCTGTTATTTACGTATGTATGTTATAGCTGTTCCTATTAAATTTCTTCATTAATATTCATGCAAATTATACAATTAACTAATGCTTGAATCGATGACGTCGTGATGTTTGCAACGCGACTGTTTCCGTGAATCGGTTGAATTGTATTCAAATTTTATTTTTCGTAACTATGGTTTGGAATACAGAGTTAGAGATAAACAAAACTGTCGTACAGATACATATATATGTGTTTTTTTTTTAAATTTTAACAACAGTAAATCCTTAAGTAATGCGATATCCGGAAGCCTATCGACTCGGCTATATTGATGCTGTTACGTTCATTTATTGGAAAGCAATGTACTGAATTTGTGCCGTAGGTTGTTGTCGCTTGCTTGAATTTAGAGCGTATTTGTAATATCAATGCACCATCCCTGGCCTTATTGGAATGAAATTTGCAGGATTTCTGTATTTGGAAACATTTTTTTGTGTTGCTACGGCCGTTGTACGAATAACACAAATAAGTTCGTCCTTTTTGAATAGTATTAACATCGGGGTATATTTTTCGAAAATAAATGGAATCAATGGTGATATCAATACACAGAACATATCCAAAAATCTTAATTCCAGTATCTACCTGAATAATTTCAGCGTTAAATTTACAAAATACCTAGATATTGCCGTGACCGCACCTCATTGCTTTGTTAAATCGTTCTTTTCAATCGAAACATGAAAAATAATGAAATGGACCGTACTTTTGAATGGTTTAAACAATGCTCTCTCCGGTAATATACATTAAGAGGTTATAAATTTGGTGTGATGTTAATGTTATTCCATATTTCTTTCACGTGACTTAACACAAAGTGATAATGAATTTAAAATATCACTATGACGTTGCGTTAATACGTATCAACTATATAAGTACGTAATAGACCTGTACTGGTGCGATAGCATCGCGCACAGATGTGCGATCGTAAATACCTTCCAGTTTTTCTATCGTGTAGACACTAAATTAACATATTAGATATTTCTGTAGGATCGATGTCTTGATTTTATTTGGCATCTGTTGAATACTAATGTGCACGTGCATCAAAATCATCATCAGTTTTTAAACATTCTTTTATTCAGTCATAGACGAGTATTAATTGATACAAAGACACTCGCCTTTTGTCTTAGATAAATAATAGCATATGCGTAGTTTGTTATATATATATATACCTTATGTTGTCCACAGTTTTTAACTTCACCACCGGAAGTTTGCACAATGCACATATTTAAACAAGAAAAACTGATCTGCCTTGAAAAGTAGTCATTGTCACACAAAATGGTGCAAATACATGTATCAGCACTGAGAAAATCCCGCAGTCCCTATTAAATCATTGCCAATACCCACTACTTCCAATAAAACACTGTGCAATCAAAAAAAGATAAACTTATTGGAAAGTAAAACCGAAATTTATCCTAAAACCAAAATTATCTATCAGCATCCAGCTACACAAACAGGTTAATTTAACGATATACATGTACTAAAGTATTTTGATACTTTCGCAAAAATTCACTTTAGGAAATGTCGATATCAGGATTATTAACAAAAACACACATCATTACATTTTCTTGATTTACCAACAGATGTGTACCCTTAATTTCTAGTTGCTGTGAATTGCATTATTGTACAAAAAAAACTTCTTCATCGGATGTATTGATCGATGCCATATCACGTGCACATATCAAACTGAGAATGTATTAATATTAATTTTAACATGGTAATGTAAAGGCTTCTGTTGGTGTCAGTAGTGAGTGAACTTCGACTGCTGTCGTATAATTGTAGTTAAGGTTTTTCCCCTCAGGGAAACACTCATTTCACTAAAAATCATTCCATTTTACACCCCCTTCCCCCCCCCCCCCGCAAAAAAAACAAAACAAAATAAATAAATAAATTTCATTTCCTGATTTAGTTGCTCGAGTCTATTTCTGCTAATTCATTCAATTTTAAATGCATCTCCCTATCCATCCCCCTCCCCTTGTATGTGACTTGACTCCATATATTGATGTACACGTGTATAAGTATTGACTGTGTGTATTTCTTTCAATCTAGACAGTTGTGTCACGTATGTTTAAATTCAATTATTATTGTTTTCCCAGAGTAAAGCGATTGATTAAGTAAATGATGTGGTAATAAGGAATCTTGGAAATGTATTCGATTGTTTTTGATTGATTTTTGTTTCATATGTGTGTTTTCTTTTTGTTTGTTTTTTTTTAATTTCAATTCCAGGTATTTATTTTCTCGTACGAATTAAAATAACATTTCTATTATCTTTAAAGAAAACAATCTTTCTACTTACTTTTTTTATTACTCTCTCTCTCTCTCTCTGCCTGTTTGCCTCTAGCTGTCCGCCTGTGCATCTTTAAGAGTTTCTTTTCTCCGCCCGCCAGCATGGCTGTGTCTTTTAGTATATTACAAATGACATTTTCAACAAATTACGACCTCCATTTTTACTTGCCAGAATTTTGTACACCAAACTGTCGATATTTTCTTTTTGTGCTTCTTGCAAGTGTTGTTCAGCATAAAGCCAATATATACCTTTCTATGCACTTGAAATTATTTATTATTATTATGTTATTCCTATCACAAGGGATGGATATCATGTATTTGATTTACATGTATTTACTTGTTTACTTTATTTAAAAGTGACCAATAAGAGGGATGACTGTAACTAAGGCACTGTTACAACCAATTTAAAAATTATAATGTTGTAACAAGGCACCTATCATCGCATAATCAGAATCACCTTTCATTTTTCGGGTGTTGTTTCCCGGACTTGAAAATTGAGAAAATGAGTATTGATCCAAGTACCGAACACGACTGAACAGGTATATATTGAACATATATTTCTAGATATTTTTATTTATTACAGAAATGTTATCTTGGTATTTTATTTTGGGTTTCTGTTTAATGACCGCGACCATAGCGAAACTAATTCCCCGAAAATATAAAACAACTAGATAGTATATATATATATAAGTCAATGAACATTCTCTCTCTTCCCTTCGTTCCACTTATATGCTGTTTTATTTTCGAAAGATTTCTTTAAGAGTTTTCCTGACATCTTGGTTCGATTAATCGCTTTGTCTATTTCTAAATGTTAATTATATAACAATCAGTTTCTTTGAGTGTGATCTTTGTTTTACCCTCTTGTTGTCAACATATCATAAAGGTATTTACCAAACATTTATTTTACAGATATTTTAGCTGCATAATGCTATTCTGTGCGATATGTATAAGGAACAAATATGATGCGTAAAGGAAGCAATTAGCTACCTGTATCAGTATATGTAGTACAGAGTCACGCTCCCATGGTATCATGATGAGAGTAGTATACTGTAACCCAGTTTAACGATGGTAATCATTTATTGTCTTGAGTATTTATCATTCAGGAAATTCATCTTTATTAAAAGGATGATTTCTCTGGTGTCAAACAAACATTATATTGGTTTATCGATTTGAAATTCGCATATAACGATATCCAATATTGCTGTTTAATGTATTAAAACAAATACCGTTTGTAGTCACAATTTTATTATTTTCCCTAAAGCATATATTGTATCTAGGAAAGTTCAATACTACCATTCTATGAATATATACTCCACACAAGAAGGGGTTCCGTCATTTGTTTTAGGATGTTCCGCCGGTAGGTACGGGTTTAAGTGTCGTGACACCTGTCATTGTCAGACTGGTGGGTGTAACCCTGACACGGGACAGTGTGACGTTACCGGGTGTCAGACGGGTTGGATGGGACTATCATGCAGTCTTCGATGTTACTGTAACTCGGGAGGAGCCTGTGATATAGATACAGGGGTCTGTAGTGGAGGAGGATGTCAGTCCGGATGGCCGGGACGCAGCTGTGTTCTAGGACCACGTAGGTTGAAAATAATGAACGATTTTATTACATATAATTCAGTTGCCCTCTATTGAGTATACACCTATCGGTTAAAGTGGATAGGAACATTGAAAAATAGCACGTCCATACATAATATTTACGAACATGTTTTTATTGAGTTGAATGTAAATGCTTTGTGTATTAGAAAATGGTTTCTGCTAAATGCTTGTTACAGATGCTGAATTTGAATATCTGTTAATGCTTCATGGACTCTCATACCTAATTTTAGTCCTATACAAGACATTTTTTTTTCTCCGCTTGTTTTGCACCGTTTCATGTCTTGTAAACATCAAATTTTGCACAAATCATGTTTTGTGACGCTGTGCACTTGTTTTATGATAAAACATTTGATGTAGATAATTGCATCGTCATATGTCGTCATTTTATCATTGTTCATATCGATTTATTGATGTGTTTGAAAGTATTAAATTTAAGGAATAATGTGAACTTCAGAGCTTCATACTTTTTCTTGTTGTTTAGTAAACAACACATTGCTATCATTCTCGTCTTGCTGTATACTCAACAAGAAAGAATGATAGTGCTGTTTTCTAAGTGAATCAACACATGCTATATATCAACTGTGCCATTATGCATCGGCTGATACAAATAGTGTACGGAGGGGAGTGGTTGTGCAAAGTGTAACTATTGATCCCAACTGAAAACCCTCGAGTGACATAGCAGTCTGGTTGAAGTTGTTAAAATATCTTAAAATAAATATATATCAACAACCAACCGTCCCCTAAGCGCAAAACGAATGAAAGGGTTAATTGTTGCATACTATTAATACACTTGTAAAATTAATTTGTGTTTGCCACAACAAAGTCCGCAACAAGTTGAAAACATTCCAAGTGAAAGAGCGGCCTTTCTACTGTGGACCAAAGGCCTTACGTCAATGAAACAATGTTCTGTTTTCAAATAAGTCTCAAGTCCCGATTTTGTCAGCAACATGGTGACGAAAGCCTATTAAGATCAGTGGTTCTTTCATTCTGAACATGCCAGGGCAATAGCGCTATTTTCAACAGGATAACAAACAAGCACACACAACGGTGGTAGATGGGGATCAAAATGATCTTCGAGCAACACATGAGATAACGTCAGAATTAGTATTCCAAATTTTACCAGATGCTAGCGCTTACCTTGAACAATGAATGGTACAGCGCCTTTCCTCGAATTATCAGTCGGTTCTATGCGACGATAATACATTGCAATCTACTTTTGGTGATCATATCCATCAGTCATAAGTGAAAACAAACCCCACGTAAACGACTCTTCAAATGAATATACCTTTGAGTGCCAGTTTTGGTTTTAACTATAATTAATAAAACAAATGAAAAAAAATTGTGAAAAATTTTTTCAATCCCATCTTCGGTATTCCGTGTGGAAGTTTGAAAACTTTCATTAATAATTATTTTTCGCAGATGATCGGGATCTAGCACGTAATAAAGACACCTATCAGAGTAGTACTTTTGGTAGCTATTCATCAGACAAAGCTGTTGACGGTATTATTACCGCGGATGTAGCACATCAGGGAAGCTGTTCACATACAAAGGCAGCAGGACAAAATGAGGCCTGGTGGAAAGTCGATCTTGGAGGAGAAAAAAGGATCGGGACTATCAATATAATATACAGACAAAAATGTAAGTATCATAACAATGTAGTCCAACGACTGGAACATCAAATAGGGCAACTACTCCTTTATCATGTGTTGTAACTTCACAAGAGTTATACAAATAACTCTCTTGATAATGATCTAATTTGGCAGTGCAAACTTTGCATTCAACATTTCGAATCAAGTTACAGCATATACCGACTTAATAGTTTACTCCGGAATTATTAGAAATGGAACTAATAAATAAACAATATTAATCCTGAAACATGTAGATTAATGATTCAGTAAATAATCAAAATAGCAGAAATCTGATTGGATCCCTTCAGCTAAAACGATGATTAATTTGATTTTTTCAGAATATTATATTTGACAAATTTTTGTTCATGTAACACGTCTCAAACGAATTCTTCATAATCACGTGTTAACACAACTACGTTCACCTATTATGGATGTATGTATTGCATGTATGTTTGTTGTATACAGCAATAAGGTAATTGTATCTATAAAGAACGTTGATGCAGAGAATTATTTCTTTTATTATATCCTATTTTGTTTTCTCCAATTTAAGATATTTTAATCTATTTCAGACACCTTCCGAATGTCCGGTTTTTATCTGTATATATCAAACAGTTCCTATACTAGCTCCCAATCGCTGAGTCGAGACTTTTTATGTTACCATGACCACGGACCCGGTCTGCCCTCCTACATCCAGTCACTATCATGTCCAGTCTCAGGTCGATTCGTCATATTTTACAACAAACGTCCTGCCGACTATGAGCCCTTCAATCGCATGTATTATTCGGAGACAAATGCAGTCATTGAACTATGCGAAGTACAGGTACTTGGAGGTTTGTACTTTGTTTTGAATTTAACTGTAAAGTGTTTTGTCGTGCACATGAAAACAACAGAAAAGAAAGAATGTGAAATGTGCAAGTTATTTATTATTCTTCGATGGTCCTCACCTTTCTTTTTTATTAAAGTCAATTTCAGTTTATTTTACCGGTAAAAAGCACGTGCTTGAAGTATTGATACCAGTCGCACTGCATCATTTATATAATTTTGAGAAAGATCAGGTATCCGAATTTCAGCCTCCGTGTTTTTTAGCTTAAAAATTGCAAACAGTGAAAAACAAATCAATTTATACAACTCAGATAATTATTTTACAGTTAACTTGGTAAACGAAAGATTCAGTAATGCTCATTATTATTATGCATGGATATTAGTAGTCTAACCCGTGCGCATTGTGATATGCCATTATGAATAAATATCACACAATGTGATAGAATATTTTGTGTGAAAATGCCTTCTGCGAATAAAGTTAGTTTGAAATACGGTCCCTCTTCTAACCTTTGTCAAACTTTGAAGTTTTGTATTCAGAATATGATATCTGTATATAGTTGAAATATTTTCGTTTTGTTGCTTTGGTACTAGAAATTCTCAAACAATAAGTTGTTCCATGACAATAGTTTTTTGGTCGGTGTAACGTTGAAAATGGATCTGAGTTGAAAATGAAGGAAGAGTCAACACGCGAAAAGGATTGAGATCTTCATCATGTCTTAAAATTGAGCCAAGGTCATCCTTATAACTACATCCCTTGTGTGTTTTTCTATGGTTTGGTGGAAACGTGAAACAAGTCAAGATCCGCATCCTATAACCACGTATACATTTGTTGGGAATGGAGAAATGAATACACAAATGTCTTAAAAACTTATCCTGTTATCATTCCCAGTGTGTGAAGATATTATACAGATCATGAGACTAAATTAATATCATTTCAACAGTGTTTTATATTACTTTTAAATTCATCTTAAGTCTACTGTTTCAGAATATCCAAAACTTAGTGGATGACTTACCGACATTCAACAATGACACATAATATCTGCAAACCCCTTTGAAAATAAACGAGTTTATTCCGTTATTCATGAAACAATAAATTAGTTCCCTATCGGTTTAACTTGTCTAGGATAACCTGAAATTGACATCAGTGTTGGTACACGAGATTCCAGCGTGATCCTGGTTCATCGTTTCTCTTTTAAAAATTGTGTTTGGTGGTTCCATCGCTCCGTTAACAGCTAAGGCCATTTTGAGGCGGATCATGTAGGGCTATACGCTCGGATCACCTGACCGTTAGATCGGGTGATCATTACATAAGTATGCAGATACTTACTGTGATCAGTTTATTATATCTTTCCTGACTGCTATTTCGTTTTGTAAATATCTAATTAACACCCACCTCTATGATCCTGGAACTATTCTTTATTGTGGTCATTGCAAGGCAGTTAAACCCTCACTACGGTATGCAATTGAAGGTGACATAACAATCATATGATTACACTGCAGGTGTATTTTTAGGTCAATAGATAAGTCACCAACAAAGGTCATCAATTCTTGTTAATGTTAAAACGAATTATTTCATTTCCATATCTGGTAGAAAAAGAAATTTTAGAAGTTATGTACACCAGTAAATGTGTTTGGAAAAAAACCCAACAAACTGATAGTTATATGAAGAGTAATAAGGTAATAAAAATGACTGTAGGAATGATATAAACAGAGGTGATTTCTGATGCATGTATCAACATATCCTGGAAAAAAAAAACCCAAGAATACCAGTATATGAAAACTACCGGAATTAAGGCATTTTTGAACTTTTAAAGGGTTTTAAAATTGTATTATAGAAGCCAATAAGGGACATTTATACGTGTGTATTGGTCATCAATACTTATCAATATCATATACTTTAAATTGCGTAAATAAGGTTATGTCAGTGGTCAATGTATAGGTCATCATAGGTCACATGTCAAATAAGTCATCAATATCAATTAATATTATACACAACTTTTCCTTTGCAAACCTTATAACAGCCAAAGTTATGTCAAAGGTCAAAATTTAGGTCGCAAAAATTCACAGGTCAAATAAATAACCATTTTTTATTAACTTTGTATGCTTTTCCTTCTCATATCTTGTCATACAAAGTTATGTTATAACAAAGTTCAATATATAGGTCACTAAAGGCGACAGGTCTGGTAAGATTTCATTACCATTCAATATTGTATACTTTTCATTTGCACATCTTAAAATGTAAAGTTAAATTCACTCCTACTGGCCAATCATGGAGGCAATATTGATTTCGCAATATTACCGATCTCAACATAAGTAGCTTAAAAAGGTTTCAATAGACAATATACATTCAGTATAGTAAATTGAACGTGATATTCACGATATAGCTCGAAATACTGCACCCTCTGGTAGGATGAGAGTACCTGCAAAACAAACCCACGTGATAGAACAGAATGATGACATTGACTTTGATTTCATTAATAATTCTTTCTCGGGAATTTTAATTAAAAACAAATCACGTTGAAAAAATTGAGATCAGTTTCCTACTCACGATACTGCTTTTTGTTCATATTTCAAATTTATCATTTTTTTCACCTAACGCTGAAACAAGTTTCCAGTATGCTAACGTAAGTAAATGTCCACATGAATTTTCGGTACTGAGTTTTGAAGAAGGTACTATAAATTGATTAATTACCTACGCAGCACGAATCTAATGAGATAAGTTAAATATTGATATACTTGTAGCATATATGGAAACTGTGATCTGTTTCTTCACATTCTAGTTCAAAGTTGTTTATGTTTACAGCCGTGATATGGTTGATGTAAACAACTGTGACGTGTTGTTTAAACGAAAAACGTCATCAAATCATAGCATGTATAATTAATAAGGACTACACTGATAAAATATTATGACATGAAAAAATCAACCGTAGTGAAATTGTGCCTTGGAAACACGGCTTTTTTTGGCAAAAGAGGAAAGTTGTGATTGATTAAAAACATTACATTAGCATACACGTACATCTATTATTTAGAAATGCAACAAATATGTTTCATTAATTTAAAATTTCTTCTTTTTACTGTTCCCATACTGGCTCATAAATGGTCAGTCGAGTCTACGTCCTCTACTCGTATCAATGACTAACACAAGTTTATATGTATCTTGTTTCTAAACTGTTTTTATTTATATAGGCTGTTTACTATTAGATGTGACTCAGAGGAAATAAATCGTCGTCGGAGTAGAAGATCTGTGTTTTTTTACCAACATAAAACATATTTGTAACGTTTTATTATAGTAAGACTTTGCTGGATGAGTGTCCACTGGAAATTTAAGCGACGTAGTGCAGTTGTCTACTGTGTGGCGCAATGCTTGAAAATCTTCACCACAATTTGATAATCTCTTTTTTGTATAGGTTGCTTTTTCATTATATATTATTTGACCAAGGCGTATTTTGCATTTTGTTTTATAATTTTCATGTAATGATGGTTTTCGTGGTTTACGTGTGATGTTTGATTATATAATTTATTTTTGAGGATGACCTCATTCAATTCGATTAATTGTCCAGTTTTATGTGGAGCAAGCATAGATTTATTTATAGAAAAGCAGGGGTTTTACTGAACCCCTTCAAAAGACACAACGATAGTTACATGTACATGATAGATGTCGTTCAGGAATGGCGGCATTTGATAAAAAATCTCATCAAAATACATATTATCAATAACAATCCCTTGAATATAATATCAACAATGATCATTTTACAGCCTGTGAGCGAGGTAAATTTGGACAAGACTGTAGCCAGAGTTGTCACTGTGCCTCATCTGACTGTAACCAAATGACGGGAACTTGTCTTGTTCCGGGATGTTCTGCTGGCTGGATGGGTAATTCTTGTGACCAAGGTAGATTCTTCATTTATAACTTACAAGGGAGTTAATCTTAAACATTATAATTATAAGAGCCTGGTGTATTCGAGGAACCTGGAAGATAACATTAGCATACGTGCATTGTTTACAAAATTAAAACATCATATATCGTGGTTTAACAGAAAATTTCGTCTCCAAACTGTTCTCACACTCATAAATGGCGAGTCGAATCCTCTACTCGTATAATGAAGTAAGTCAGGATACGTAGAAAATCATATACCAAATCAAAGCATTCTGTCGATTCAGACCTCTCCCAGTCAGATATTTTGAACGGTTTCATTATATCACAGATTTCCCGTAATTAAGTCGTTCGCCATGGCGATGGAGTAACTCACTTTGATTAAAGAATGGCTATATTGGAAGAAAGGATAATAACCTAATGTGAGAGGGACTGTTTGTTAACATCTTGAAAGCTCTGTTATTGTTATAACTCTATGTGGTTTACGGATCAATTATATATATTTGGTATTGTCAAGAACGTTTTGTAAGTCATTAGTATTCATGTGTTTTTACGCCCGAGATATCAATGGTCTTTAGATTTTGGGCTTTTGCTATTTTAATCTACAATGAGGAATGTGTATAAACATTTCAATAATTTTGCATACATAAGAATTTGTGTAAAACACAGGACAACTTTCAAGATTTGACTGATCCGAGTACATTTATGGGACACATGACCGAATGTTATCGATTTTACCAATAGAAGTTTTTAAAGTTTCATTACTATTAATATTCTATATCTGTTTTTTGTATTAAAAATTAAAACTCCCCAAACACATATTATGATGTTTATAAACATCTGAATTTCACTGAATAAAGGATGTGGTTTATACACCATAGGGGAATTTTAATAAAACTAGCCAGTAACGAAATCTCTTTCAATATCTTCAGCTTTGAGGAACATGTCCTGATTTTTGGAGCACTTTTCTTCTTATCATAGAAATTGTTTTGATTGGCCTTTACCTCATTTCATAATAAGTTTAATATTGGATACTTGTTACATGTTCGTCATAATGGCCATATTGGTGATCCTTTAACATATAATCATTCCTTTTTTAGGATGAACTATCAATTCGTTCATTGGCACATTTTTTTTTAAAGTTTCTTAACTCATTTGTATCGTGTTCCCATGAATTCCTTCATTGTCATGCTGTGTCAAAATAAGAAAATACCAATGTTTACGATAATTAATCGAAACTTTTGTTCAATAAACTGGGGAAAATATGAACAAAATATTTATAAATACCTGAAAGGTTAATCTTAATGGATTTAAATATCATACCAATAAAGTCATCCACACCGTGGTCCTCAAATCGGCTAACCATGTTTGTGGAAACGACTGTTTGATTTTTTTTTTGTTCACATAAAACCCTCAGGTGAAGCCGCGCGTCCATTTCTTTAAATATAGAAAGATTAGTATCTTTCCTTATTTTGCAATGGAAGTTTCCCTGTCATTTTATGACGTATTAAATGTAAACATAATTACATTATCCCTGTTAAGCATGGCAGTATCGTATTGCAGAACAAGAATTGTCGTATAGATTCGTTCAGTGTATGACAGCAGTAGATAGATATCTCACCAAGATACAATTTACAAAATTAATTAATTACACTTTTATATCATATCACCAATGTACTTTTTCACTGTAGGTAAATTTGGACAAAACTGTAGTCGAGTTGCCACTGTGCCACGTCCGATTATCACAAAATGACCTGTGTCTTATCCTGGGATACTGGCTGGATGGGTAATTCATGTACCAAGGTAGATTATTATTTTTTACTTTATAGTGACGAAATCCACATATGATAGTGTTACTTGAACCTGGATTAGCATTATACAAACAGTATTATTTACAAAATGGAAACATTACATATGCTGGTATGATATAAAATTGTGTCTTCAATTTTCTCACACCTACTCACAAATGATGAGTCGAGTCCTCTACTCGTAGCATATATGCTGTGAGAGGGACTGTTTGTTAACATATTTGAATGCTCTGTAATTGTTATAACTCTATATGGTTTTACGGTCAGTAATATATAATAGGGTATTGTGAAGAAAGTTGTTAAAAGTCATTGTGTTATTCATGTGTTTTTTTCTAGTATTTGTGAACCTCTTTTCATTTGGTCATCTCACCGAAGCTACCATTTTCTTCATTATTCTTTCGGATTATTTTTCCTTATTGATTGACCCACTGAGATGCTATTAACCTGAATTTGGATTTGATCGTCTGATAGTTTTATTTTCGGTATACAAAAACTCAGACTTTTAAATATGACTTCTATAAAAAATACCAGAAACGTGTGTCTTCATTGAACATGTTTTCGCCAACAGGTTACTGCTTATGTCTTCATGTCTAGTTTTCATTTAATCACGCTTTTGTGTATTTGTTGTTAATATTTTTCTATATAAAACGCAGAAACAAGCAAACGTTTTGTTACGATTGAAATATAAATAAACTATTTTTTAATTCAACGAAACCTCAAATGAACAGTGTAATGTTTACCTTTTAGAGTGTGCCAATTATATGTTTGGCCGAGACTGCATCCAGACCTGTCATTGTGCTTACTCTGGCTGTAATAGGACGAACGGTGTATGTACTTCACCTGGCTGTAGGGAAGGATGGATGGGTAGCACATGTAGCCAAGGTAATAAATCATGTAATTGAGTGCATGAAAACATTGCTCAACAATTGTATACAATTGTAATTGTATAATTCATGTCAATTATTTAACACTTTACGGCTTATAAAACGAATCCCTGTTGCTCTCAGTGATATTTCTTTTCATCAGTGCTGCCCTGCACTAATAAAAAATCATATTTTTCTTTACTTGAAGTAATTCTAAAGAGAAAATCTCTACGACAGCTACTTATGTAGATCTTTTCCTTCAAACCAACATTGACAGCTTTCCACAAACCTATTGTGAGATTTCCATTTCTTAATTGAACATTTCTGCAGCCCAAACCTAGTGTGTTTCCATCTTGTCGCAGTTGATTCAATATTTAAAGGCTTGTTCTTACGATCATGATTTTCAAGAAGTTGTCAACTGACGGACAAACTCGTAACACAGGGTTTCAAATGGTGCAAGTTGATGCAACTTATGGGGAAGTTTTATGGCCGTGATATTGATCTAATTGAGAAATATTTCTTTATGCGATAAGAAGCTTGATTTGTTTTATGCCTGTTAGTTTGCTTGTTTATTACATTGCGGTATACCTTGTTGTCATTTGAGAACGTAACAGTACCTACTTGGATTGACCAAGATTTATATGTGGAGTGTCGTCCATGAAGCAGAAGACACTTATTCTTCGAAAACCCTGGTTTTATTCTCTTTTTACCTTTTCAGAAGTCTCCATGTAAAATTTTTTTCTGTTCATGTTTTACTCTAGTTTTATTGAATTTGAGTTTGGATTATGATCATTATGTTCTTGCTGTTTTCTGTAACGTTAGATATATTTAAATGGGAAGGGTTTATGATTAAAAACCATCAGTAGGTGTTGTATTTAAATCTGACCGTACGAATTCAAAAGCTGTCAAAACGTTAATATCAGCTGTGAGGACGGTAAGAAACGTGACACAATGTATCTGTATATATCAACTTTTCTTCAGACACGAAATACATTTTCCAGGAAATAGTTATCAAAACACAAAAATGACAAATGCACATACCTTAGAATCCTATTCGAACTGTATGTGTCACTTGTGAAGCGCCTTCATGTCCAAGACTGTGTGTTGAGAGCTGAATTGACTGTGTTTTTTTATTACATTTAACAACGTTTTGTTTTTCATACGTTTAGTTTAACCAAACCTTTATCATGAGTTTATTATGAAGGGAATTTTCTGAAAAAATACGTCTAATCCAAGGAAGAGATAATGTAAAATTATAACATAAGTACTGTCATCTAATTTCTGGTTTATAAGATCTTCGTACAGTGTAGTAGTAATATCTTCCAAGATGTTTTTTACATATCTACGGAAGCAAACTGAGCGACCTCATGGCCGCATTTATCTTGCAAAGGCCTTCAGTGTCCTTTCCAAATATGTTAATGATGTTATGTTTTAAAGACAAGAAATTTAAGACTCATGTTCATCGTATATATTATCTCAGTTGAAAAACAAAGGGAAAAACAGGTTCAGTTTACCTCGATAATTTCCATAATGAAACAAATATGGTCAGATTTCCTCCAGTTTGTAAGATAAGCGCAATGATTTATATTTCCCTATTATGAATGGGATTTTCCATGCTTAGATAGAAACATACCTGCATCACAAATGTTTATATATTACAAAGGGGATCCAGATTTTTTTAGCAATCAACACATGGTAGGACAGTTGCATGTTGACAGGTATTACAGGGACATTTGGGATATGTTTGATGCTCTCTAACAAGCCTTATGTTTTAGTACCCTTTTTTACACCCTTGAAATGAAAAAGACTCACATGGTGGTTGTCATCTTTGGTGAAGGAGACTAAATTTTGTACAAATTGAGACTCAGCCCGAAGGGGCGGGAAAGTCTAGACTCAAATGGGGAAATAGAGCAAATTATTTAGAATTCTGTTTTTACTGAAGGAATGACAGGTGTTTGGTTGAATATTTTTTTGGCCAATAAGCCAATTAAAATAAATTCTTTAAAATCCTTCTTCCATAGGAATGCTTTGGTTTTGTTACAATTTGGTCTTACATACTCTTGGGTGATTAGAAATCTATTTTGTAGATATGTTTTGGCCTTCTAGGGCGGGATCAAATAGGACGATTGTAGAACAAAAACATATGAACAACATCTTTTCAATACAAATTTGGTTCTGTAAAATAGAGCCAAACAATGCTAACGGTCTATATTTTGACGTCTAGGAGGCGGCTGCAAAATTTTGTATAAAGGTTTGGTCTGACTCTCCGGGGCCGAATGGTTTGTCTCATTAAGGGAAACGGAGGAAGGCAATTTGAGTTATTATCATACTGACACATGTTTAGTAAGTGTTTCCTCTTTGAAATGATTGAATAGTGTAAAGTTGGGAGTTGTTCTTTATCAAGCCAGTCTAGTTCGTTGTGTATATAGGAAATGCAACGATGTAATGTCTACAGATAAGGATCAATTTAGTGTACGCCTTGTCTGCAAGCGCAATAACATGCTTAATCTCCATGTTATATTCGTTGTTAAATGAACAACAAGACAATCTCATGGGAGTTGATTGATTTATGTATGCTATAGTGGTTTGCGACGAGGAAACATTAATCAATATTTTTAAACTTTGTGCATTGAGTAATTTCATATTGATTTCATGTAAAATAGCAGTACATAGCTCTGGTAAATTTTTTGACCGTGTTGTTCTGGTTTCAAGGAAACATTAATAATCATGAGAATTTGATAAGAATTTTAGGGGTTTCAGATGCTGATGCAAGGACAGCTACATCATACAGTATAAATCAATCAATTATACAGGTTCATTATTTGAACTGAAATATATGTTATAATGCTGAACGTCAAAAAAGGATTTGTATACATTGTAATGTCCATATTTACCAGACCATCAGGCCATCTACAATTAAGTCCGATGAAATTATGAATTCCAGAAATTTTAAAAATCTAGAAATTTGCTTCCAGTAATATTTTCCTTCATGATATGATGTAATGATATGATATATTAGACGCGATAAATCTCGGAATATGTTTCTTCATACTTTGTGAAGTGAAAATTGAATTAATTTTAATCATACCCCAGCTACTGTTTTATAATCATTGAACAATTATTATCATCATTAGCATTGTAAATAGCCAATAATCAACTGTTTAGTATTAAGTATTTAATTCATGTTATAATTTACATCCCGATAATTGAGTGAAGACTTAAGTTATGCTTTTGGGTATATAATATATCAATAACAAGAAAAAAAGAAATGTATCCAGTAATGTCATTTCATTAAATAACGCATAACGTGGTGAACATGGTAACAACAATATCAATCATGTTATACAAAACATATTTACAACATAATCAATATCATAATTTTAATATAGCCAAATAGATGGAGTATGAAATATAACAAAAACGATGGAGCATAAATTAACAAACCTACATTATAACACGCACAAATTCATAGTTTTTACATATCCAAAAAGATAGAGCCTAAATAACTAGGAAGGACATGTATCATAACCGAAAAAGTGGGATGGTGGGCCAAACAAATTCCATTACCAATTTTCGACCTTGTATTTTTTTGTTGTTTTCTCACGTGACCTAAATTCGCCTCGCCGATTTGCTTTTCCGTTTTCGCCGATTGTTTTCGGGTGTACTCGATTAAGCTGCAACCATCCATCTCTTTTACATTTCGCTCCCATTTTTATCGCATATTGTAACACAGAATTTCGATGAAATGATAACACACATGAAATAAATAGTTTCAATGTACAACATTAATATATTCATTATCATAAATCGTATATACTCTTGAATACACTCTTTAATACAACTTTGGGACAAAACAATAAATTTAACTAAATCATACAGGTGTTTTTTGCTTCTAGGATTTCTCAATAATGTTAAGGGCCGAAAGTTATTACGGTAAAGAAAATAAAATGAAGTAAAATTTTAATTTGTTTAAACATAACCAAGAACCTACACATACTTTCTGAACTATTTTTATGATCTTAGTAACTTTGAAAATTATCAATCATCAACTAGTTAAAATCAGATAAATTGATCGCTTTTAACGTAACGTAAGTTAGAAATATAATTTTCCTATTTTTGCTACATCGTATTGATGTTGTTAGAAATGATTTTAGAAATATCGTTTAGAGATGAAATGTTTTGTCAAAATGACATTTCACAGTGTAATTTAGATAAGACAGTATTAATATCTTGCATCGAGGTGTAACGAATTAAACCTTGGAGCAAGTTTTGACATTTTCTATACATCTACATTTTGACATTTCCTATGCATCAAAAGAGTAAACCACACTACCTATTAAGCTAAACGTTGTCTTTAGAATTATAGAAAAGACACAAAGGTAAACAGCATTCTTTAATACATGTGCTATTTTGACAGTTTTAACATATCAAGGTCTTATGGTGTCAACATTTTCTACTGGTACGTAATACGTAATACGTAAGGTGTGTTCGATGTTCGTGTGCATCTCTCCTAGTTTCGCTATTTCTATCTCCTGCCCAACAACGATATATTCAAATCGATTACGTCCGTACGTACTTCCGTTAGTCCTGATACTGCTTTCCGTATGATATCGTTTGAAGGACTGGTAGGAATGTGATGACACTAGGTTGGTACACTTGTTAAAATAATTCTTTGTCCAAGATTAACGAGGAATTCCGTGCAGTGAGGCTGGTTTCTTTAATCACTCTCGGATGCTGCTTTCCGCATGATATCCTTTTGAAGAACTGTTTGGACTTGTCACTTTAATTCTTTGGCCTAGTTCGGTTAACGGCAAGTTCCACACTCACTTAATGAGGCTGCCTTGACCTGATTGGGTGATTTTTTTTATCACTTTATGTTGGTTGACATATCATTATTTCCCTGATAATTAAGATCAATACATCAGTTATATAAGTTTTACTTTTTATTTATTTCTCCGTTATGTGTACTTTATGTAACAGCGTGTACCGGCAAAATGTTTGGACGAGACTGTAACAAAACCTGTCATTGTGCTAACTCTGACTGTGACAGGATGAGTGGGGTATGTAGTATACCAGGATGTATTGAAGGTTGGACAGGGAGTACCTGCAATCAAGGTAATAGAGAAATCATTTGTGTTAACAAACATTTAGATTAAAATGACATTATAGTAATCAAACCGTACAAATAACTACGCAAAAACAATTCAGGTTTCTGGAATCGCAAAAGGATAATCTTGCTTAATTACTTGTCGTTGGATGTGCCTTAGTCATTTGGATATCCCTGAATGGTGGTTATAGCACGATCGTGATATATTAAGTGGCATAGTATTTTATAGTCGAACAAAAGCCCCTACAGAAAGAAAAGGGATCTTCAAAGGGCAGGTAAAACTTTCATAAGATTTCAATGATTAATACATTGATAACATCTTGACCCGAAATCCGTTAACTTTATAGACAGGAACTTGGTACATGCAACTGGACTGACACTAAAGTGATACCGTTTTATCTAAACAATATTTATCACTAATTTGTAAGGCATGAAGGTATCGAATGGTATCGACAACTGATAATAAAAATTCTGCATGAAAATATTATGCTGTTCTGATAATATGATAATGATTCAAACCGGATTTTAGAGAAAATGAATGACAAAGTAAACCTATGTTTGTTTTATTATGCCAATCTTTTCTTTCCAAAGCTATCTATGACCTCATAGTTTGTTAGTTGCTTATTGTTTTTGTTTTCAATTGTCAAATACTGTTCAAACAGTATTGCCTAGGGATATATGGAATGAAAATAATGAACTGTTTGTGCAATTTATTGCAAGTTTTTACTTAAAACTACAACAGCAATAATTCAAATAAATGTTAATATATGTCCCATAATCATCTTCTGTCTTCTGCTTCGTATATAGAATGTGGCAGCAATTCATTTGGACGAGACTGTAACCAGACCTGTCACTGTGCCTACTCTGACTGTGACAGGAGGAGTGGGACATGCACCATACATGGATGTACGGAAGGTTGGATGGGAAGTAAATGCAATCAAGGTAATGCATTAAAGTCTTTTTGAACATGTTTTCATATTTTAATTAATTGAATTCACGGACTATGCAATAACTTACATCACAGGATTTGGATATGTGAAGACCGATGAAGATTTTTTCAAATTGTATGGTTGTAATGATGATTCCAATGCTCGTTTGTGTTTCTGGTGGAAGGAGACACTTCCCTTCCAGAACACCTTGTCTTCTTCATATACTTATACAGGGGGTTTGTTCTTAAATTTCTGTTGTTTCAAAGAATAATTGTTTGAAATAAGATTTGGTTAAGATGCGGTTACTTGTTATTGTTCTCTGTTAATTGCTATCAAAGTCCTGGTTAAGGAAGTGTAAAACACCTACTGAGACAAATCTCAAGGTAGATAAAGTTTACGTCGGACAGACGGACTCAACTGATTTTATCATTACTCAGATGTTTATAGTGTTTCATTTTTGCTTGTGTAAATGATAAAATGTTCGTAGAATGTCTTAACCATATGTTTTATACACGATAATAAAACTTCGAATTATATATAAAGTTCGCTTATGGAGTTTCTGGAGCAAATATCGGCAACTGCTTCATGTTGAATGTCCAACTTGCTGCTGATATTCGTTTGGAGTCATGTGGATTACAGAATAACGAAATGATAGAATATTGATATAACATAATGTATTTTATTTGGTATGATAGATTATGTGAACCAAACCTTCGGACGAGACTGTAACCAGACCTGTCTTTGTTTTAACTCTGACTGTGACAGGAAGAGTGGGTCATGTTATATAACTGGCTGTACGAAGGTTAAATTGGGAGTGATTGTAGTGGAGGAGTTTGTTTAAAATTATGCCATTATTAGGGTGGAATAAAGAATAATTTTGCAGTTTTCTTAGATGCATTCCCTCATTCCGTTGTCTCAGCAATTTGCTATCAAAATATCTTATTGCCTATACAGATGAGGAATGTAATAACTTTGACATATTGATTTATTTAGCTGTTTTACTGATATCATTGTTTGTGGTATACAGTTCAGAAGAGTTTTTATTAAATGATGTAAGGAACCGCTTTCAACGACTTGCATATACAATTTTCATTGTTTTCACAGACAGGCGTGCGTTTACGTGACTTATGTCTGTTTATATTTATACAATCCAAGTCTTGCTCCGAGAAGAGCTAACATGATTCCTAGTTACAGAGGTAGCACCACCTACACATTATCAATTACTCCCAATGACGGAACACCAGTTTACCACACTTCAGCATAAAATCCCACACCACCAGTTAATGATAGGGAAACAAGCTTTCCGCATATATATTAAATTTCCAAACAGAATAGGAATACATACATAACACCTGATTGCCACATATCTAGTTGTTCAAACGTTGTTTGTCATACCGGCAACCTAATATCATGTTAAGTATTTAAAATCATCATGCCACTCGAATTAGAATGTTCCATAACGCGAATTAAATTTAAAAAAAAAATGTGTTGAGAGATGCAGGTTGGTGAAGAGTATGGGAGAAATTGTACGTGGTCAAAACGATATCATGTGCAAATATTCTATATCCATGTTTGATATCAATTTGACCGTGTTTGGTGCTCGTTAGTATGACTCAACGTTCCATTGATATTCTTGTTCTTTTGGGATCATATTACTAATTTGGCCTTACTAAGAGTAATATCACAGGTGTGGTAATTAAAGAAGACGCGCTTTCCCCTCCCAAATACCTAATTCATGTATATATATGTAACCTTATATTATATATTTTGTCGTAACTTCATTGCATTGGTAATCAAATCGGTATTTTCTTTGTTGCTTTTTAATAAATCTTTACATTATTGTGGGAGCTGACGGATAAACTAGAAATTAAGGATTTTCAAAAATGTTGTTTTAATAAAGATTATAAAGGATTCGAATATATCATAGTTCCTGTGAAATTTGTAGATATGTTCAGTTGGAAATAATACCAATCGCAGATGATTATATTTCTAGTTTTCATTCCACAGTGGATATGATGAGATTTTACCAATCAGAACGCGAGGGTAGATATATTTAGTACATCCGTGATACAGTCAATAAAAACATATAATTCAAAGAAGTAAAATAAAAACGTACGTGTTTCGATGCTATTAATACAGTAGTATAGACTACAGAGAAACAACTGATAAAATAGACGTAGTATTTTCATCGAGTTGTATCTGAAATTGTATTACAGGGTGTGTAAACAACACATATGGAAGAGACTGTAAACAGACCTGTCATTGTGAAAACTCTGACTGTGATGTGAGGAGTGGGATATGTAAAATACCTGGATGTACGGAAGGTTGGGTGGGAAGTAATTGCAGTCAAGGTATCATTTACTAATCAACCTCAATAAAACCACGTCCCTGCTTATATGTCATCATTGCATACCCTGTTTTAAGCTTTTTAGTATAAACAGTGGATGATGTGTTTTGTGTTGTTTATCGTTCTGTAAATGTGATAATAAAGAAAAAATATGTAATATTCTCAGATGAAAACAAAAGTCAGGTTTAAATTTCCTGATTCTGATACTACGACGACTCTGAGTGATTTGCATACAAAAGTGCCATTGTTTCCTCAAACAGTCGGGCGATAACATGATCCTTGCCTGCTTACACTTATATAATCCCTGCTTTCTAGAAGAACTAACCTGATTCTTGTTACCAAGGTAACACTACCTACACATTATCCATTAATTCCAATGACGTAACACCAGTTTATCACACTTCAGCGTTACAATACCATACTACTAGTTAAGGATAAGGAAACAAAACTTCAGCATTGATAACAGATTTCCAAACAGAATAGGAATACATACTTATTACACTTGATTGCCACATATCTAGTTGTTCAAACGTTGTTTGTCATACCGGCGACCTAATATCATGGTAAGTATTTAAAATCATCATGCCACTCGAATTGAAATATTCTATAACACAAATAGAAATTTAAGAACTGTTTCGGGAGATACAGGTTGAAGGCCATGAGAGATATTTTACGTGGTCAAAACGATTTCATGGGCAACTATATATAATTATGTAAAATATGAAGTTATATATGTTTGGTGCTCGTTAGTGTGACTGAAGGTCCATTGATATTCTTGTTTTTTTGGGATCATATTACTTATTTGGCGGAACTAAGATTAATATCGCGGGTTCGGTTATCCAAAAAGAAAAAGCTTTCCCCTTCCAAACACCCAATTCATGTATACATATGTATCTTTATATTATCTATTTTGTCCTAATTTCATCGCATTTGTAGTCAAATTGATATTTTCTTTGTTGCTTTTAGACAAAGCTGACAAGAGCTTATTGATAGACTAAGAATAAAGGATTTTTAGAAACATGTTGGTTTGATGAAGATTATAAAGGATTCGAAAATATTATAGTTCCTGTGCAATTTGAAGATGTTTGAATGGAAATAATATCAATCGCAGTTAATAGTATTTCTTTTTTTCATTCCGCAGTGAATATGTTTGGATATTAGTAATCGGAACGAGAGGGAAGATGTATTTAGTACATCCATGATTATATGCAGACAATAAATAGCCATGAAAAAAACTAAAATAAAAACCGGACGAGTTTCGATGATATTAATACAGTATAAAATACTACAGAACAACACTGATAAAATAGACGTAGTATTTTCATCGAGTTGTATCTGAAATTGTATTACAGGGTGTGTAAACAACACATATGGAAGAGACTGTAACCAGACCTGTCATTGTGAAAACTCTGACTGTGATGTGAGGAGTGGAATATGTAAAATACCTGGATGTACGGAAGGTTGGGTGGGAAGTAATTGCAGTGAAGGTATCATTTACTAATCAACCTCAATAAAACCACGTCCCTGCTTATATGTCATCATTGTATACCCTGTTTTAAGCTTTTTAGTATAAACAGTGGATGATGTGTTTTGTGTTGTTTATCGTTCTGTAAATGTGATAATAAAGAAAAAATATGTAATATTCTCAGATGAAAACAAAAGTCAGGTTTAAATTTCCTGATTCTGATACTACGACGACTCTCAGTGATTTGCATACAAAAGTGCCATTGTTTCCTCAAACAGGCGGGCGATAATATGACCCTTGCCTGCTTACACTTATATAATCCCTGCTTTCTAGAAGAACTAACCTGATTCCTTGTTACCTAGGTAGCACTACCTACATATTATCCATTAATTCCAATGACGTAACACCAGTTTATCACACTTCAGCATTACAATACCATACTACTAGTTAAGGATAAGGAAACAAAGCTTCAGCATTGATAACAGATTTCCAAACAGAATAGGAATACATACTTATAACACCTGATTGCCACATATCTAGTTGTTCAAACGTTGTTTGTCATACCGGCGACCTAATATCATGTTAAGTATTTAAAATCATCATACCACTCGAATTGAAATATTCTATAACACAAATTGAAATTTAAGAACTGTTTCGGGAGATACAGGTTGAAGGCCATGAGAGATATTTTACGTGGTCAAAACGATTTCATGGGCAACTATATATAATTATGTAAAATATGAAGTTATATATGTTTGGTGCTCGTGAGTGTGACTGAAGGTCCATTGATATTCTTGTTCTTTTGGGATCATATTACTTATTTGGCGGAACTAAGATTAATATCGCGGGTCCGGTTATCCAAAAAAAGCTTTCCCCTTCCAAACACCCAATTCATGTATACATATGTATCTTTATATTATCTATTTTGTCCTAATTTCATCGCATTTGTAGTCAAATTGATATTTTCTTTGTTGCTTTTAGACAAAGCTGACAAGAGCTTATTGATAGACTAAGAATAAAGGATTTTTAGAAACATGTTGGTTTGATGAAGATTATAAAGGATTCGAAAATATTAGTTCCTGTGCAATTTGAAGCTGTTTGAATGGAAATAATATCAATCGCATTTAATAGTATTTCTTTTTTTCATTCCGCAGTGAATATGTTTGGATATTAGTAATCGGAACGAGAGGGAAGATATATTTAGTACATCCATGGTTATATGCAGACAATAAATAGCCATGAAAAAACTAAAATAAAAACCGGACGAGTTTCGATGATATTAATACAGTATAAAATACTACTGAACAACACTGATAAAATAGACGTAGTATTTTCATCGAGTTGTATATGAAATTGTATTACAGGGTGTGTAAACAACACATATGGAAAAGACTGTAACCAGACCTGTCATTGTGGAAACTCTGACTGTGATGTGAGGAGTGGAATATGTAAAATACCTGGATGTACGGAAGGTTGGGTGGGAAGTAATTGCAGTGAAGGTATCATTTACTAATCAACCTCAATAAAACCACGTCCCTGCTTATATGTCATCATTGTATACCCTGTTTTAAGCTTTTTAGTATAAACAGTGGATGATGTGTTTTGTGTTGTTTATCGTTCTGTAAATGTGATAATAAAGAAAAAATATGTAATATTCGCAGATGAAAACAAAATCAGGTTTAAATTTCCTGATTCTGATACTACGACGACTCTCAGTGATTTGCATACAAAAGTGCCATTGTTTCCTCAAACAGGCGGGCGATAACATGACCCTTGCTTGCTTACACTTATATAATCCCTGCTTTTTAGAAGAACTAACCTGATTCCTTGTTACCAAGGTAGCACTACCTACATATTATCCATTAATTCCAATGACGTAACACCAGTTTATCACACTTCAGCATTACAATACCATACTACTAGTTAAGGATAAGGAAACAAAGCTTCAGCATTGATAACAGATTTCCAAACAGAATAGGAATACATACTTATAACACCTGATTGCCACATATCTAGTTGTTCAAACGTT